GAAGCATTACAGTTCATGTAAGTTATTAGGGAGTTGCACTGATGGGTATGGGAAGAGTATGCTAACTCCTTGCGAAATATTTCGTCTCCCCTCCCTCTATTTGTATATCTCCATTGGGTTAAGCTGTTGTTACTATTGCTCACTTGATGACCAGGCTTTACTCAAGAAGGGCTTTTTGGATGGATGGCCAGGTTGGTCAATATGTATTAAATCTGCTGTCTTGATAGTACAATTAAGAGATTGGTTTTGCTCTAACCGTAGGAGCCAACTCCTAGGGGTTACGGGGGCTTTGGCTCCCACAATAAAATATTTGAGTGCTGAAGTTGATGGGCTTTCCCATTCAAATGGTGTGTGTGCACACTGCATCATGTGATCGATTATGCAGGGCACGGCTTACCTGGGCCCCCACAATATTTTATTCAAGTTGGCACCCCTAGTTCTAACATTTTAGTGGTTGACACAAAAAGGGCTGATGTAATAGTAGCAACAAATTACAAAATAGATGGGGAAAGTTGCATGTGCTTGGAAGTAGAAGCTTTACCTTAGTAAAGGTGATGGCTGTATTCCAAAACCTACCAGGAATATCTTAACCTTTGCCTAGTTCTTGCAGTTTCAACATGGATATGCTGAAAGCAATAAAACAAACAAACCTGTTTGGTGCAGGAGCAAAGACATTATATTCCCAAGTATCTAGTCATAGTCTTGTCCTGTCTGTTACTAAAATTAGACTTCATTGAAGCAATTATCAGATTAAATTTGATATAATCTGACGGCATGCTCAAATGAGCGCATACAGGTCATGTTTCATAAGTTTAACATGTGAAACTTCTAACATGGTGAGAGAGGAGTGGTGTGTGTGTGTGTGTGTGTGTGTGTGTGTGTGAGTGTGAACTTAAGTTGACCGCTTTGCCAAAAATCCAACAGCCAATAGAAGAGTTCTTTTGAGGAAGCAGAATGAAATATGGATAGTTTCTTCTGCCTCAAGGATGCAAGCCTTAACATTGTTGGGTCATGTGGTTCCAGTACTTTCATTCATACCAGAGCCATGTGTGATGGTCTTGGGGAAGAAGAAGAGAGTTTGGATTTGATATCCCGCTTTATCACTACCCGAAGGAGTCTCAAAGCGGCTAACATTCTCCTTTCCCTTCCCCACAACAAACACTCTGTAAGGTGAGTGGGGCTGAGAGACTTCAGAGAAGTGTGATTAGCCCAAGGTCACCCAGCAGCTGCATGTGGAGGAGCGGAGACGCGAACCCGGTTCCCCAGATTACGAGTCTGCCGCTCTTAACCACTACACCACACTGGCTCTCCTAAAATAGAGTATGGATGTAATCAGATGCTCGTCCCTCCATAAGAGGAAGCAGCTTTGTGTGTTACAAAGTAAGGTAAAGGTAAAGGGACCCCTGACCATTAGGTCCAGTCGTGACCGACTCTGGGGTTGCGGCGCTCATCTTGCTTTATTGGCCGAGGGAGCCGGCGTACAGCTTCCGGGTCATGTGGCCAACATGACAAAGCTGTTTCTGGAAAACCAGAGCAGCGCACGGAAACGCCGTTTATCTTCCCGTCAGAGCGGTACCTATTTATCTACTTGCACTTTGACATGCTTTCGAACTGCTAGGTTGGCAGGAGCAGGGACCGAGCAATGGGAGCTCACCCCGTCGCGGGGATTCAAACCACCGATCTTCTGATCGGCAAGTCCTAGGCTCTGTGGTTTAACCCACAGCGCCACCAAATGCTGCTTGGTAACTCCTGCAGGAACTTTGCCACATTGGGATGTGCACAAAAATGTAAGGAGAGCCTTGAAGGATTGGGTCAAAGGCCCATGTGGTCCAGCATCCTGCTTTCACAGTGGCCACCCAGATGCCTATGGAAAGCTGACAAGCAGCACATGAGTACAACAGCACTCTACCTACCTGTGATTCCCAGGAACTGGTACAGTCATACCTCGGGTTGAAGTTGCTTCAGGTTGAGCGTTTTCGGGTTGTGCTCTGCGACGACCCGGAAATAACGGAACGCATTAGTTCCGAGTTTCACCACTCGTGCATGCATATACGCTCAAAATTATGGCATGCGCAGAAGCAGCAAATCGTGACCCGCACAGACGTGGGTTGCGTTCGCATCCAGAGGTACCACTGTATTTAGAGGCATCCTGCCTCCAGCACTGAAGGGACTACATGACTAGAAGCCACTGATTGTCTCATCTGCCTGGAATGTATCTAAACCCCTTTTTGAAGCTATCTTAAGTTTGCAAGATGCATGCATCACTGCTACTCAGGCTCCTACAAGCCTCCCTTTTCAGCCACTACCAGATATATAAATGCTGTAAGCTAAATGCACTAGTGACTGCATGTTTTCAGGGCAGCACATACTGCGTGATGTTTCGAAACCACTCTTGAGTTTATTCCCTTTTACACAGGGGCATGTGTTGTCATGTAAAACCTTTGAAAATCCAGGTGCCCTCAGGGCTTGCAAAACAAGGGGAATATAATAGACATTTTTTGAAAAACACATTGGGCAACTTGAACAATCCCACAGCCCTTCTTAAATCCTGTGACTTATGAACATTGGCTCTGCACTGGCCTCCGAAGAGTTATACCTAAAGAGTTATACCTTTGATAAACACTTCCTTCATACTGCTGAACGTACTAAGTTCAGGTTAAGGTTAGGTTTAAAATTAAGGGGATAGGGTCATTCTACGCTTTCAGTAGCAGAAGCATGCTGCTAATGAGATTGTGTGTGCTTTGCTTGCCAGAGTAGGAGAACTCTTATTTTATAAAATAAATAATTAAACTAGCATAGTTTATGGGAGGGCCTTCTTGGTAGTGGTGCCTGTCCTGTGGAACACCCTCCCATCAGATGTCAAGGAAATATACAACCATCTGACTTTTAGAAGACATCTGAAGGCAGCCCTGCTTAGGGAAGATTTTTATGTTTGATGTTTTGTCGTGGTTTTAATATTCTGTTGGGAGCCATCCAGAGTGGCTGGCAAAACCCAGACAGATGGGCGGAGTATAAATAATGAATTATTATTATTATTATTATTATTATTATTATTATTATTATTATTATTATTATTATTATTTATTATTCAGTCATTACATTGCAAATCCCAGTTTGCTGTGATGTTCAACTGTTAACTGTGGTTTTGAATAATCCTCCTACCCAGAATTGTAAATCATGGTTTGATCCTTATTTGGAGGGATTGCTCAAACCACAGTTTACCAGTTCAGAAGTTGCAGGGAACTGTAATTTAGAGGAAACCAGGAAGTCGTCTATAAAGGCGCATCTAATCCACCTTGCAACTAACTGGATGCACATTGGCAGTCTAGCCTTGGAATTTGCATATAATAATACCGTAATTTAGTGTGCGGCTTCCATATGCAAAGCAGACTTAGGAGAACTTGTGTTTCTGAATACATTTTTATTCCACAATGGCTGCAATTATGCCTCAGTGGCTAATATTTGTCAGCTTCTGACAGCCTGCTAGCTCCTCAACTTGCGTTTGGAGATGATTGGAAGAAATGTAAACAGCTGCAGTATGTCAGAGTAGCAAATTCCCCAAAGGGATAAAGTTTGCTTTATTACGGCTTTTTAAATCCTGCTATTAAAAAACAATGGGGGATGGAACCATAATTTCTAGAATTTACATGATAAGGTTTTTTTTATTTACTCTTTCTTTTTTATTAATAAGAATCGCTCCACTTACAGCATAACAGGACGGATGCTTTGTTATCCTCAGCTATTGTCGGTGACAAACTACTCTTGCCATCAGTCTTGTAGTTTATCCACCAGGGAGCCAGATTATGGCCTTGTAAAATGGAGTGCCGTTCCTAAAATCCCTTAATTAATTACAATTTCTTGCTCTCTCCCACTGAATATATTGTATGTGCATCAAGAGGCCTTGGATTTATCTCCTTGCTACTTATTTGCACATGTCTGTTTGTAGAGCATCTTTAGAAAAGTGCACCTCTTTTTGTGGTACATCAAGAATAGGGGAATCAAGAATAAGGATGATCAAAAAGTGTATGGCATTAAAAAAACCCCTCTTCATCCAGCAAATCAGAATTAGGGGCTGGGACCTGCAAAACAAACCTGGAGGGGATGAAATGGAAGAGTGATTAGACTGTTCTTGGCTTCCACACCTTTTCTGTTGCCTGGACCATTGACTCTTTCTGTGACTGCTAAATGACATCCCCCCTTGTGTGTTACAAAGTAAGGTAAAGGTAAAGGGACCCCTGACCATTAGGTCCAGTCGTGACCGACTCTGGGGTTGCGGCGCTCATCTTGCTTTATTGGCCGAGGGAGCCGGCGTACAGCTTCTGGGTCATGTGGCCAGCATGACTAAGCCGCTTCTGACGAACCAGAGCAGCGCACTGAAATGCTGTTTTACCTTCCCGCCAGAGCGGAACCTATTTATCTACTTCCACTTTGACATGCTTTCGAACTGCTAGGTTGGCAGGAGCAGGGACTGGGCAACGAGAGCTCACCCCGTCGTGGGGATTCAAACCGCCGACCTTCTGATCGGCAAGTCCTAGGCTCTGTGGTTTAACCCACAGCGCCACCCGCATCCCTATAAGAAAACATTTAGGGTGTGGTAATTTTGCGTGAATCCTGTGTTGGCATATATTTGAGCTAGATCTCTCCAGGAAAAACTCTACTGTCCCATTGCCACCTCCCATCCTTTTTGTTTGGCAGAATGGAGTTATGCTTGCAGGACCTGTTTGTAGGACTTTAACTCAGGGTGCAATCTAGGAACTGTTTCTTTGTAGTCACCCCTGCTTGCCGACAATAGAATGGACAGCAGCCCTGGGAATTTTCTTGGTGTTCCCTGCTCCTAAAAGCAATGGTCCATCTTGTATTACCACCACCCCCCTTTATTATTACTGCAGATGAACTGTATTCCTGAAAAGTGTGACATAATTGGTGGTATTCACTTTATTAAATTATTTTTCTCTCTCCTCTTTCCCACCCCTTGCTTTTTTTGTGTGTGTCTTGTGTAGCTCAGCTGTGAAAAAATATGGGAGACGACAGGCCATTTGTGTGCAATGCCCCGGGCTGCGGACAGGTACGTTTACAGTATACTTTATTACGAGTGTATCGTTGTGAATCAAAGTGGCTGTTTTATCACTAAGGCAAAGAGTTTAAAGCCAGTGTTTTACGTGATCACTGGAGGTAATCAGATCGGAGGATTTGCAGTGCGTAAATCCAAGTTACGACCAAGTGCAAGGGCTCCAAAGTAATGAAATTTGCCTGGCTTTTGTGCCGTATTGGTGTTCTTTTGGTATACCAACCAACATCCCCAATAATATCCATGGAGCCTGGAAAGGAAAAACCCTATTCTGATCTCCAGTTAATGTTCTCTTCTTTTGTCAAACAAGCCTGAAAAAGAAAACACACAATCTAATTTGTTAGCTACTTTAGGATATTTTTGAAAAGCAGCTTATAATGTATCTGTTTATTAAATGTATGTGTTGGATTGGGCTACTAGCATGGTAGCAAAACAGATTATGCTGGTTTGACACATATTAGAAGTCTTCATGCAGTATACATGTATGTAATAAAATGTGTAGCAGCTTTAACATGGTATACTTTACCTGTGACCGATGAAAGCAATTGGCGGAAAATTGAAGCACCCCAATGACTCACTCATTCCAAATCTGCATTAATACACTTTCTCTTCCTTTTAACAAAACAAAAATGCCCAATTCCCCCTTTTTCTTTTCCTCTCTGTAAAGTCATATTCACTGACCATTTTCGTTCTGCAAAACATGCCAGCCAGTCATGAGTACAGAAGCATTCTGCAAAAGCATCCGGCTCCCAGGGTTGCCAGGATTCTGTTCTCCACACTGGTGCCACAGAGAAGGCTGCACCAATGTGGCACATTTCAGCATTTTCATGAACTGGTTACCCTGTAATCTATATTCGCTATATTACACTTTGAAGTGCTGGGTCAGTCTTTTCTTTGGTCCAAGGGGCACATTCACTGTTGGCTAAACCTGCAAAGGCCTCGTGCCAGCAGTAAGCATGGCTGAAATGGGCATTGGCAACCCAAACTCGCTCACTCTGTCCTGCACACAGTCTCCCTACCTCATTAGTGGCGAGAGTGCGATGGGTTATTAAGGAGAGCCTTTTGAAGTTGTTATTTCTCTGATGTATTCAAGGAGAGCAGAACTACTCAGTGGGGGCCACATGCTAGAGAGGCAAAAGTGGGGGGGGGCAGAGCAATGGGCGTGACTTGTCTTTAAAAGGGAAGTTACATTCCAGCCATGCCTAAGCTGAAGGCTTTTACGCATAACTGTCCTCCATCCAGGTAAGCAAGCAGCATTATCACAGCTCAAGGACACACTCCAGCCTAAGAAACTCAGTGACTGGAAGTTTACTAAGACTTAACTAATACAGCAAACAGTTTAGCACTGTGGCTTGATGGAGTAGCCTCTTTCTCTTGCAAGGTTTTGCAGGTGCATTTCTAGCAAGTTTATTGTATATGTTCAGTAGAGCATAATCTCAGGATTGTGGGTTTGAGCCCCACAATGGACACAAGATTCATGCATTTCATGACCCTCGTGGTCCCTTCAACTGTGATTCTGTGAGTGGTAGCAGAGTATAGATCTGTAAATACATAGGGGGAAATACTATACGCATGTCAAGACCATGCAGCTATCTGTATGTCTGAGAGATGTGACCAGTCAGTGCTCACTACTGTCATCCACCGCAAGTTCCTTGTACATGCCAACATCATTTTTTCCCTTTTAATCTGGTGTGGGGATCTTCTTCAATGAGCTTTCTATCAGCCTTCAGAATGGTGTGCTCAAAGGTGGGTTTATCTGCCTACGTTTAGAGAAACCGTGTCTTCAATTTGCCCCTTTTCTTTTCCTTCTGCCTTCCATTCAAAAGGGGGGGGGAGAAAATCCTACTCATACAATTAATGCATCCCCTTTTATTTTCTCCAATTGGGAACTAATTTATTTTGCATAATATGATGCATATGGGATGGGGCCCAGGAATGTACATAATACTTTGAAAGATGGAATGGTTTCATCACATCCATTAATATGCTTTTTATGTAGTCTGAGAGGAACAGAATGTCTTATGCTGCCACTTCACCTTATAATGTGTCATAATGAAATGAAATCTTGGTTTGTAGTTTGTGGATGCTAAAAAGTACACCCTCCTATATACTTAGTGGTTCTTACGTAAAACCAGGCTGCTGGATCAGGCCAGTGACCCATCCAATCCAGCAGCCTGTTCTTAACGTGGCCAACCAAATGCCTGTGAGAAACCCACAAGAAGGATTTTGAGCAGAGGAGCCCTCTTATGGTTTCCAGTAACTGGCATTCAAAAGCATTACTGCCTTCAACTCTTAGTTGTCTCTGCCTGTTTCCTATTAGGGATGGGTAGATCAGTCTGTTCCCAGTGCCTATCAATTTCATGTGTTAATGTCATTTATGTCGGCTTCGGCCCAGTATACCTGAAGGAGCACCTCCACCCTCATCATTCATCCCGGACACTGAGGTCCAGCTCCGAGGGCCTTCTGGCGGTTCCCTCCCTGCAAGAAGTGAGGTTACAGGGAACCAGGCAGAGGGCCTTCTCTGTAGTGGCGCCTGCCCTGTGGAACACCCTCCCATCAGATGTCAAGGAAATAAGCAACTATCTGACTTTTAGAAGACATCTGAAGGCAGCCCTGTTTAGGGAAGTTTTTAAAGTTTGATATTTTATCATGTTTTTGATATTCTGTTGGGAGCCACCCAGAGTGGCTGGGGAGGCCCGGCCAGATGGGTGGGGTATAAGTAGTAATATAATTATTATTATTATTATTATTATTATTATTATTATTATTATTATTATTATTACATATCTTCATAAATCCCTGTTTCCATGTTAATCTGATTTTTTTAAACACATGTATGAAAAATTTCTATTTATGAACATATCTAAATACGTATATTCTCTCCGAGTACACATTTCTAAATATACTTTACCCTAAAATACAACAGTTCTTTGATAAAAATACAGTTTTTATACATTTTTGTATAAGTAGATGATAGTATCACAAAACTTGAAGGGCTGCTAAATCCACAGAATAATTGGATCAAATCCAGCATAGCACCAAGGCAGTCATTCCACCAGTTCAAGGATTTCTGCTTGTTCAATGGAATCTTCTTCACCTCTCTATACCCCAAGCTTTCCTAGGAGTTCCCCCAACCCTCTGGTGCAGATTTGGGGAGGGCACAGGGTGGCGTAGGGGGGGGAGACCCATTACTCAAGAGCAGACCCTTACATTGATGGGACTTGTTAGTAGAATACTGCCCAATATGTTATTGGGGGTACATATTGGATCAATATGCTGAAAAAATGTGAACCAAACAAAATTCTCCGCCATCCCTTCTCTTTACTGGAGTGTTTGGTGGGGACAGGCAAGAGCAGGAACAAGTAAGAGCAAGTGAAATAAATTTGAAATACAAGCTGAAAAGTATTGCTGCGAAGCCTTTCCACTTCTGTCTTGAAAGCACGTTAACAATATGAAATGTTCATTCATTATTGCAGCATTTGTGGCACCAATTAACTTGATTCCCAATTTCTTCCATTCTATTGTTTTTTTTGGAAAGTGCTGTTGTGATGAAGGGACGGTGACCTAAAACTGATTTTGATGAGCTTGCTATCCCCTCCACCCTATAATCCAAGCTACTGGGCTTTTAATGGGCCTGTAAACATGTTTTTGGTTGCTAGGTCTTTAATGGCTGTTATTTTTGGATTCTGTACATGATCACTTCCCAGCAGTAAGCTTGATGTGACACAGCTGAGTTCTAAATGTGCTGCATATACTTCTTTTAAAAAGATTCAGCTGAAGGTCGTTTATCTGGTTTCTTTTCTAAGAGGACAGGTGACAATCTTTCCATTCCAGCTCCTGCCCTAAAGTGGTTGCTTGACAAGAATGTGTCTCTTAGAGGGAGTGGAGGCAGGGGGATCGAAAACTTCCTGTGCCTGAGACTGTATACAGTTCTAAGTCACATTAACTTCAACTTTTTTAGGGTATGCGTCTAGCCCTCATGGTTGCAAAGAAAAACATATCAAATGCTGCCCTCTGAACAGTTTTGAAACCTTTCCGTTTTCACCTAGAATGTACCATCTGAAATCCTTTGTAGATGGATATATTTTAATTTAAAGAAGGTGGTTTTTTTTAACTGACTTCCAATTCCAGTTTGAAGCTCTCATAAGCCCTCCTACTTGGCCATCTAGTCAAATATTGGGGTATATGGGGGGTTAGGGGAGGGGCAGTACCTCTAGTGGGGGACACCTCATGCTCCTGGGATAGTTTGTCCACCTTTGGTCCCCACCCTGCACTCAGCTCTCACCTGTAGCTCCTAGAAGCTGTCAGTATGGAACAGCGGCCACACCCCAGGAATGGCTTTGGCTGACTGGTTAAGCCTGGTGAGGGTAGCCAATGGATCTCAAACCCTTGATGAGTTAGGGACTTCCCCTGCATGCAAAGACAGGCTCTGGCATATTAGGTGGACAAGACCAAAACTGAGTCCAGTGGTCAAGAAGGTGGTTTCTGCATACAGTGGTGCCTCGCAAGACGAAAAGAATCCGTTCTGCGAGTCTCTTCGTCTTGCGGTTTTTTCGTCTTGCGAAGCAAGCCCATTAGCGGATTAGCGCTATTAGCGGCTTAGCGGATCAGCTGATAAGCGGCTTAGCGGATCAGCTGTTAAGCGGCTTAGTGGATCAGCTGATAAGCGGCTTAGTGGCTTGGGGAAAAGGGGGGGGGGAACCCTGCAGAAACTTGCAAGACATTTTCGTCTTGCGAAGCAAGCCCATAGGAAATTCGTTTTGCGAATCACCTCCAAAACGGAAAACCCTTTCGTCTAGCGGGTTTTCCGTCTTGCGAGGCATTCGTCTTGCGGGGCACCACTGTATACTGTAGAGGGGAGTGAGGGGCAGAGGGTGTCATCAACCTGGGAAAGTAGCCTATCTAGGAGAAGGAAATCTCTTATCCTAAACCTCTGCTGCATTGCTAAAAGGCTAAGGAGTAAACTCTACATAAATCCAGATTGGATCCAGAGTTTT